GTACAGAACCACATAAATCATGATTAGAGTCATGCTAATAAACAAAGCCTTCAGTTTGGCCCGTTGGCCAAGACTGTTGGAGTGGAGACCGCCTGCCTCTCCCTTTGGAAGGGCCCACTCCACGGCTTCTGCCTGCCTGTGACAACACGCCAATGTGGTCTCAGAGTGGGGCCAGAGAACACACAGTCACTTCTTTTAACTTTTTCCAAAATAAAAGAGAATTTCTTAGAGACTGAAAGTCTTTTCCATTGGGTGTCTTTAAAGAATAACTTTAGAGAGGCAACATTGGTTAATGACATTACATAAATTTCAGGTGTGCAACATAATTCACTGTGTACTGTATTTTGTGCTCCCCACCTGGAGTCTAGTTTTCATCTGTCACCAAATATTTGATCTCCTTGACCCAATTCTCCCTTTTCCATGACCTCCTTAGCCTCTGGTAACTGTCATTCTGTAGTCTGTCTCTATGAGTTTGTTTTCATTTGGTTTGTCACTTTTTTGCTTTTATAGTCCACATATCAGTGAAATCATAGTCTTTATAGAGCCTTACTCTTAGATTGAGTAAACAAATGAACTGATATTAGGAAAATGTCAGACCGTTGGTGGGATTTCTAGTGGCTCCTGGATGGAGGAGGGAAGTTTGTAAGGATGTTTCTAGAGGACCCCAAGTTTCAGTGTTGCTTTTGGGGACCTGTCCTGCTTTCTGACCTCACCAAGAAGGGTTTACCACCCTGGTTATCTCTGGAACCTGAAAGTGCTAACTGCCCTACTTTCCGCGCCCACCCCCTCTGTTGGTTCCTTCAACATCCCCACAAATGTGGGTGATTCTTCTATCATAGAAAACCATTCACTTCAACAGTGCCCCTGATAGCTGCCCTTCTATTTCCTTTCTTCCCGCTCAGACTTTTCAAGCAGTTGATCTTCATTTGTTGCCGGATGAACTCATCAGCAGCCTCTTTTTGGCTGCTGCCTCCTGCTTCCTCAGAAGGTGACCCCCTGGCCTGTCCCAAGGGCAGCTTTGCCCAAAGCCTGGCTGTCCTTGGGTTGCTCCTCAGGCTCCAGCACAGAGCTACCCTCTGCCCTAAGTAGCAAAAATAAAAAATGTTCCCAAACATGTCATATGATTTGCAGATGACAAGCATCGTGACAATTTACTACATCCACACAGCGTCCCATCCCTTCACAAGTGAGAAGGAGAGAAAGGTCAGAACATACCCCGCCATGCCCACCTCTGACTCCTGGACCAAGAGCTGCAGTTCCTGTGACTCCCTGGGGCAGGGCAGGGGGCACCGTGCTCTCTAATGGACCCCCCTGCTTGTTGAATTTTTCCTGTGATTCATCATGGACAGTTGCAGGTTGGGGAAGCCTGGGGAGTCTCAGATGCACACTTACCCTTTCCTTTGTCTCTGTTCTACCTGTCTGCTTAGATGAGAAACCCACCAGGCATGTCCACCTCCGAGCTCATGGAACATGGATGATTGATGACGGTATTAATCTGAATAATAACAGGCTTTCGGGGTGGACTCTCAAGGTGGCTCCTCAGGACCAAGTTATGGATACGCGTGTCCTGTAGAGCAGGAAGGAACCCAGCTAACGGGCAGATGCCAGTACCAGGATGGCCCAGCTCAAAGTGCTCCTCCCTTTAAAACAAAAAGCAAATAAGTGAAGCAAGCCCACAGAGCAGCCCGCACACCAGCTGCAGCTTCAAGCCTTTCTAATAGCGCACCAGTGTGCGTCCGCTGCTTGAGGCTGTAGGTCAAAGAGAGCAAGGCAACTTTGTACGAGGGCGCCCAAACCATGATATTTATTAAGAGCTTGCTAAGTGTTGGTTTCTGTACTTAAGTCATCTCGAATTAGATTTAATTTCTTCATTTTGGAGATGAGGACACTGAGCTTCTAAGAGGTGGGGTGACTTGCCTAAGTCATGCAGTGTGACGGACGGAATGGATATGTTGGAGCCCTCCTCCTCAATGTGATGGTATTTGGAGGTTTGGCCTTAGGGAGGCAGTTAGGTTTAGATGAAGGCTTGTGGATGGGGTTAGTGTCCTTAGAAAAGAGGAAAAGAGGCCAGAATACTCTCTCTCCCTCTCTCTCTCTCTCTCTCTCTCTCTCTCTCTCTCTCTCTCTCCCATGTAAGGACACAGTGAGAAGGACACAGTAAGCCAAGAAGTGGGTCTCATCGGGAACCAAGTCTTCTGGCACCTAGACCTTGGACTTCCAGCCTCCAGAATGCTGAGGGATAAATGTCTTGTTTAAGCCCTCCAGCCTATGGTAGTTTGCTAGGCTACCTCCTTCTCTGTTGAGTCTTCCTAGCTCAGCCTCAGAGGTAGATGTGCAGGGGTTTCCATGAGATCTGTGTATAAGGGAACATTGAATTGTGTTTTCAGACAGTATGAGAGTTAACCACTTAAAGAAACCTTGGAGAAACAAGAAATAGCATTGACAAGGATGAGGAAAAATTGGAACCCTTGTGTGATGCTGGTGGGAATGTCAAATGATAGTGCAGTGGCTATGGAAAACAGTATGGAGGTCCCTCAAAAAATTAAAAATAAAACTACATATGATCTAGCAATCCCACTTCTGGGTATTTATCTAAAAGAATTCAAAGCAGGTTCTCGAAGTGGTATTTACACACTGTGTTCATGGCAGCTTCATTCACAGTAGCCAACAGGTAGAAACACCTCAAATGTTCATCAGTGGATGAATGGATAAATAAACTGTGGTATAGAAATACAAGCGAATATTATATAGCTTTAAAAAAGGTTACTGTGTCACATGCCCCAATGTAGGGTATCTTGAAGACATGATGCTAAGCCATTAAGCCAGTCACAGAAGGACAAATAGTGTATGATTCTACTCATGAGTCTCTAAAGTAGTCAAAGTCATAGAAATCAAAAGTAGAAAGGTGGTTGCCAAGGGTTGGGGAGGTGGGAGGGAGGAGTTAGTGTTTAGTGGGTGTAGAGTTTCAGTTTCACAAGATGAAAAAGTTCTAGAAATCAGTTGCACAGCAATGTGAATATACTTTACACTGTGGAACCATATGCTTAAAAATGTTCAAGATGGTCAATTTAACGTTATATATTTCAACCACAATTAAAAAATAAAATTAGGGCTGGCAAGAGTTGGCTTGGGACGCCAGGTCTGAGCAGCAGGGCCCCGGTTCGGATCCCACATGAGGGCCAGTGACACTGCCCTCTACAGCTAAGATGGTGAGCAACAGCTCGACCTGGAGCTGGGCTGCCGTGAGTCACCGGCGACGGCGTAGGCTGCAGCCCCTGCTGCAGTGGGCTGCCATAAGCTACTGTGTGTGGCCAGCAGCTAGCATGAGCAGCCGGTGTAAGCTGCCAAAAACTGCCATGAGTGGCTGTCCAGAGGCTGGCGACCGATCTGCCTCACCCAGGAAGAGCACAATGATAATACCAACATGGGCCAGTGAAGCAACGTCCTCCACAACTAGACTGAAGAACAAAAGGACAGCAACTTGGCTGTTCCCCTCTCCCAATTCCCCAATAAAAATCTTTTAAAAAAATAAAAAATAAAATTAAAAAAGGAAACCCTTGGAGAAGTTCCCATTTAAAATAGGAATTCTTTGATAATGTGATTTCCATATGTATATCTTTGAGTTATTGTGTATTGGATTTTCTTAAAGCAATAATTGCTTGCTTGCAGCTTAGGTGTCCCTGGATCTCAGATGCTGGCTTACCACCCCTCCCCTGCACGTGGCATCATAATGTGGCATTGGAGCCTCTGTCTCATAAGAGGTTGAAGATATACAAGAGGGCTCCCGTTAACAGTCTCTAGAGGCAAATGACTGGACAAAATTGAGGCCAGGGGGCTGGGCTGCCCTTTTCATGAAGCCCAGATGTCAGCATTTTGGTCTTGATGCAGTTTCTCCATGTGGTATAATAAAAATATATATTTGGCCTTTGTTCTTAGTTCCTGGCACAGAGCTCCTAAAACCCTTACCACTTCCTGAGTGATAGATGTATCTTTTATCATTCACAAGGAGCCCCGCTGGAGCACACCTGAGTCTATGCCAATGAGGTGACTCTTAGTGGGGCTCCTCAGTAGCTTTAGGATGAGGGCTGGTTGCCCGATGAATCAACTAAGTGGTTAGAGGGTTGGAACTTTCAACCCCCACCCCTCCACCTCTGGGCTGGAAATTTTCAATCACCAAAGGCCAAAGATTTAAACAATCATGACCATGTAATGAAACCCACATTAAAAACCCTAAACAACAGGGTTTGGAGAGCTTCTGGGTTGGTGAACACATGGAGATGCTGGGATGATGATATGCTGAGAGGGCATGGAAGCTCTGTGTTCCATTCCCCCCAATATCTTGCCCTAAGCATTTCTTCCATTTGGCTGTTCCTGAGCTGTGTCTTTTATAATAAAAGTGTAGTTGTAAGTAAAGTGGGTTGGTTTTTTTTTTTTTTGAGTTCTGTGAGCTATTCTATCAAATTATCAACCCTGAGGAGAGGGTTGTGAGAATCCCCAGTATAGCCAGGTAGCAGTACTGGTGGCCTGGGACTTGTGACTGGTGTCTGAAGTGGGGGTAGTCTTGTGGGACTGAGCCATTTAACTATAGGACCTGACACCAACTCCAGGTAGATTGTGTTAGGGTTGAGTTGAATTGCAAGATATCCAGTTGGTGTCAGAGAATTGAAGAATTGGTTGTGTCAGAAAACATCTTACACTACATTTCTTCTCTTGGTCTGGAATGAGTTCAGTTTACATTTTTTCCTTCTGAAGTGATCCAACTCCAAGCAGAAGCTGCCATCTCTGGAGACAGGATAGGGATCTCAGCTCAGCCTGGCAGTGGGGACGTGAATGGCAGCCTAGATGACCAAACAGGAAGTCAGTGTTAGGGCAATTGTGTGTCACACTGACCTTGGCCAGCCATGGGGTCATACCATCTTGCTGATGGTCAGATGCCTCATTCCCGCCTGAGATGCTCAGAGAGAGACCATGAACCCTGAAAAACACCACATTGTTTTGTGATGTCACCTCTGGAATGTTCTGAGTGTTTTGGTGACCAACTTCTGCATAGGACCTATACCTGGCACCTAACACTGGTATGCTTTTACTTGAGATAGAAATAATCATCTTAGAAAAGGTAGTAGGTGTAAGCATGTCTGCTCCCAAGGTTTTCAGAAGGCTCTCACATCAACTATAATACCTGTCTTAATTTCTGTTCAGACATTGCCACAGCTTCTTATCAGATACCATCTTCATGTTCTTTGAGACTTAGATTTTCATAATGTACATAATTGAGAAGAGGGGATAAGTGAGTAGAAAGTCCTCTGTTTTTCAGATGAGCAGTTGAGGCCCAGAGGATGGGCTGGAAGCACACATCTTATTTTCTTTTTTCCACAGCACTCGAGGCCACATTGTACAAGAAAAAGAGACACCGGATCTGAAAGCCTAGAAATTCCAATCAATGTGGTTCTACCTCAGGTAGGATAATCACAGAAGAATGTAACCTACCAGTTTTAGCCAAAATAACCCTCCTCTTTCAAAACTCTAGCAAGATGTTGTTGAATGAGCAGAGTACTCAGGACCTCAATTCTAGTTGTGGGTCAGCTGCCAACCAGCTGTGTGTCTGGGCCCGGGGTGGGGGGTGGGGGGAGTGTCATTTAGCCACTCTGGGCCTTGGGTCCCTCGTCACTTGAATGAGAAGGGTGAGTTGGGTGATCTGGTAAAACCGTCCAGCCCTAACACATGAAGTTTCCATGACATTCTGAAATAAGCCAATCTTTTCTAAATTCAATCTGGTAGTTGTTATGCAATCACCCTGGATTTCTAAAGAATTAGAACGGGGCTTGGAATCAAACGCATATGACTGAATCCATGAGGAGAAAACCTAATACAGACCCAGGAGTACAGGGCCATTTGGAGGTGTCAAGAGAATTAAGACCAGCTGTATACCACATATACAGAGTGTAAGGGGGTAGGCACAAGGGGTTCAGAACGGAGGCCAATGAATGGCTGTAGTCCTGACAGGTGGAGATTCTCAGGGCTCCCCCTCTAAGCAGCCGTTTCCTGGGTGGGTTCTGATTGCATTGTTTCCACTGCTGCTATGTCACAAAGGGGGCAGCCTTGCTTCTCCAGAGTCACCTAAGGCCCAGTTGGAAGACCATGGCGGTGCAGCCAGAGAGGCTGAAATGTAGGGTGGAGGAGTCCAGTGCAGAGGTAACTGTGTGAAAGCTCTGTCCAGGGATGTGTAGGGACAGGCTCGAGCACCAGTGGGCCATACGCCTCTCTATCTCTGTCTCTATCTCTATCTCTAGCTCTAGTTCTATCTCTATCTCTATCTCTATATATCTATATATCTATAGATAGATGGATAGATACATAGATATAGATATAGATGTGTATCTTTTCTTTTTCTAAAGCTCTATTGCAAGGATTTTCAGAAGAACACGATTAGAAAGAAAACCTTCAGCATTCTGTCAATAGGTGGAGGTAATTGTAGCGATCTAGGCAAATGTGTTCGGCAGGAGGAAGAAATACAGGACGAAAGGGCACTCTGGCTGTTGGTTTTCATGTTATCCTTATGACTTTGTAGTGAACAGCCACTTCTCTGTGTCAGCTCCTAAAGCTTAGAACAGAAGCGAACTTTGTCTCGACCATTAGACGGGCTGGCTTGCCACAGGGTCCCTACAGCTGTAGGAACCTCGTTTTAGGTCCGATTCTTTCCACATGAAATACGTATGTAGTTCCGTTGGCCACGACTCTTCTGATGGTTGGGTCATTCTCGGCCCAGATAAGTCAATCTTTGCTTTGCAAAGGGACAGGCAGAGGGTGCAGTGGATGTGGGGGGTGGGAATAGGGTTTGAAACGGTGGTCATGTGATGGAGGGATTTGAGAGTCTTCTGTCTACATCTAACACAACTCTCCCTGCCTCCTCCCAGAAACAGCCCCACATGGAGGAGGAGAGAAGGGAACGGAGCTGGGGAGTGGTGTAAAAAGCTTGAGCTTGTTTGGGGGCCTGTGCTGCAGGTCCCGGTGCAGCTGCTGGGGTCTAGGAGGCCATGGGATGAGGAGACCTGCTGCCTGGGCACGTGTGCCCCACATGGGCAGACATGGATTCATGGGTGCACCTGCCACGGAGACACAAATCATGCAGCAGGCCAAACACTGGCCAAGATGCTCCAGGGGTGCTGGGGGAGGGGAGTGGTGTCTATAAGTTTAGAGTGTGTGAACCGCGTCACCAGCAGGCCTGGGGGAAAGGACTGATGTGGTTAACAAGGGAGGAAGGACTCTTGGCTGCATACTGATTCCATCATGTGTCGGTCACTGGGCCATGCAACTGTGAGGTAGACATTGTGTCAGTCCGGGAACTGGGAACCCCACGAACCCCACTAGTAATGGCAGAGCTGGAGTCGGGGGCTTGGACTCAGGTCAACAACCACTCTGTCTGTTATGCCAGAAGCTGGACATATGCCACCTGGCCGGGCCAGGTAATGTCTGAGTCCTCTGCTTAGTCTCTTGCTTTTAGGAGACAGCGCTTCCCCTCCCGCATTTAACTGCGTGCCCCGAGCTGCCTGCATGGATCTGCCACACACTGCTTTAGTCTGGGACGAGTCCTCTGTTTCAGGAGGGAATTGGAGCAGCAGCTCTGTGTCTCCAGGAGGTGCCTCTGGCCTCCTAGCTCCCAACCCTGCTGAGCGATCAGGCTTCTCAATTACATTGCGAATGCCTGTGGTTCACTGTTTGTTATCACCCTGAGGTCTGTTCAGGTCTTATTGATTTACAGTTTTTCTTCCTCACCTTAAGTATTTGTGTTTTCTGATCTATTTCCCTCCAGCGCATTAACTTGCAAGCCATCCATGTTATTTCCTGCCCCAGCTAGCTGCCCTCCTGGTTCCTACTGTACAGAACGATTGAGTTCTCACAGGCATTTGCATTTCCCTACTGAGCACCATGTGTGAGTTTCAGAAGGTGTTGTTTACTGCTAGATCACTAATGGAGGATGGACGCCAGATCAGAATGAGCTCTGGACCCTCTTATGCCCTCGTATGCCCCCAGCTCCCTTTCCTCAATTTCCTTTGTTTGGGCTTGCTCTTCAGAAGCTATGGAACCCACTGACAATGCCCGTATCTCTGCAAATTTGAATAAACTGTTAGGAGGAAGATTTCATGAGATCCTGTGTTAAACAATTAGCTGAAACTACCATACATGATGGCATCTTTATAATTCTATCAAAATCAATCACATTGACCTGTGAATTATTTATGAAAACCAACACTGACTTTATCATGGTACCAGGGAACTGAGTTGATTTAAAATTATGATAATGAGCCTCAGCCTTGTCAGCCCATCTGGACATTAGTAACACATCTGGCTCTTCCAGCACCCTGGGCCTCTCAGCGCCAATGCCTGAAAAGCACCTCAGATGGATGAATGTTCTCTGATTGTAACCCCCTGTACTGGTGGCAAAGTAGGTGTTTAAAAACTTGGTCAGTAGGTTCGGAGACTACTGGGCATCGAACATCTCTTCTGCTCTGTGGTGGTCACACTTCTCCAGGGGTGGAGAGACCTTTTAGAGTGTCAGCGAAGCCTGGCTAGTCACTGCCCAGTTCTGTCCCCAAACCCGTTAGATGGGAGGCCACCAACCCCAGAAACCACTCCAGGAGGCCCCACTCAGAGAGTCCCGTTCCTTAGAAATCCCGTGACATCAGCGAGAGGCTTTGGTCTTATCGCTTTTCTCTTTGCCTCTTGCCCGACCCCCCGTTTTTCCCACTGGCCCCTCTTCCTCCATGCTGTCCACTTGCCAATGATCTGTCAAAGACACACCGTTGTTGGTCCTTCCAGGACCACTCACATTTAAAAAGAAGATGACAAAGAGGGCGAGGCCTGATCCTAAGGAAAGACTCCAACCTAAGGATGGACTCAGGCATCTGGGGGAGATGCTTGTGTCCAGGGCCTTTCCTGGATCCCCGGCATTAGCCCATCCTAAGTAACAACTGTGAGCACATCTCCTGGGGGCTGACTCCCTTGTCCACCTTCCTAACAAGGCCAGATGGGAAAGTATCATGACTCCCATGGCCAACTGTATTTCCCACCTGCAACCATCTTCATATCCCATTCTTCCATGAATAAGCCAATCTTTTCCTCTCCTGCCTACTGGTCTGTGTCCACATGTGAGGGCATTTCCCACAGATCAGGGAGGAGACAGTCCTTCTTTCAAGGGCTTTGGACCATGCTGCCATTGACTCTGCCTCCCAGGCTAGGAGAACTTTCAGGGGTGTTCCAGGAGCTTTTTTTGGTCTATATCTCTTATCAGGGCTCAAGGACATCAAGGGAAGATTAGTTTAGTTGAAGCCAACTAAAGCCAACCCAGTGATACCACTGGTCGAGGTGACCTACTGAGAAGGAACTGGCTTCAAACACAGGCTAAGGAGGCCTAGGATCTTGTAGCTCACCTGTCTGCTTAGCTTAGATGCTCGCCTTTTGGAAAGTCCTTTCGTAAAGAAGTATATTTAGTGTTTGTGATAGTGCTTTAGGCCAAGCATGTTTAAGCCTCACCAGCAGAACTGGCCATCTGTTTGGTCTTGGTGACAGCTCGCTTACCACCTTCTGGGCCTCTTGCAACAAGGAAGTAGGCAGCATGGCTACATTTGGGTTCATTTTAGAGGTGACATTCAGAGAAGCTAAGTGACTTTGTCAAGAGCACTCAAAGATGGGACTTTTGAGCCTAAAGTTACTGGTAATGTGGGGGTTCTCTACCTTCATTTGATTATAGGTTCAAGATAGTGACATGGACAGCACATATGGGGCATTCGTATGCAGGGGCAGCTTCCTTTAAGGCTATGCAGGTAACCTACAGTTTTGTGGAGCTGACATTGGGAATACCCCACTGTTATAGCATTGATATCATGCAGTGACAGCTCTGCTGTTTAAAAATATGGATTGCAATGAGGACATAGCTTTATCAGATAGACTACGTATATTAAGACAAAATGAAATCACCACTTTTGTAGGCCCCAAATGGTACAATGTTAACAATTTCACATATTTCAACCTAGTATCTCCTCCTTGCCTCTCAGTGCATTTTGGTTCATTCGTTCATTGGCAAGGGCTCGTTATGCCTCTGCCATACATGAAATGTGCTTTTCTGGTGTTCAGGACTAGGGATGTCAAAAAGATGAGGGAAAGTCACTGTCCTTAGAGAATTGAAACTTATTCATCTGGGGAGTGACGGGACAGAACATGAGAGAACCACTGCAACGTAATGGTATCAGCAGGTGCAAAATAAAACACCTAGGCGTTGTGAAGAGCTAGTGGAAGTATGCAGTTTGGAGTCAGATATCATGGGTTTAAACCCTGGCTCTGCCCCCTTGCTGGCTTTGGGATCTGAGGTAGAGCCATAGTAGCTCTTTTTGGTGGGATATTACATGTGAGTATGGACATCAATTAACACACTGTCACATAATAGCCATTCAGTAAGTGTT